TTTTTTGCCTAGGGTGGCAAATCTCCTTGCACCAGCCTTCAGTGGAGGGACAACTTCAGGTAAGTGTTTTTACCTTCCACTGTTCCCCCAGACCATCGTACCACAAGCAGCGATGTCACCTATGGGGGTCTTTGGAAAATATGCAGACACCTGAATGTCACAGAGCTGCTTTGTTATACAAACACTAATATACATCTATATATGTATAATACACTCAGAAACCACACCTATATAAAATGTAATGACTGCTTGACACTCCTCACAGGACTATTCACTAAATTCCAAAATTATAGAAAATAAAAAATGTAATGGCTTAGGTGTTTGAGCTTAAATTCTGCAATTTTTATTTACAAAAATTCTGAGTTTAGGCAATAACCCTTCTTGTCTTCCAGTCTTTGATCCCCTGGTGCCAAGCTACATACCTGTAATATATCCAATGTGAAGGAGTAAACTCATAAGACTTCAAACAAACAAACAAAATAACTTTCTTATTTAAAGCAGACATGCAACAGTATACAGTCAACGTTTCAGTCACATTACTAAACCTTTCACAGGATGCCAAAATAATGGGGTTTAAATGCTGCCTGAATGCAGTGGTACATGTTTTCTTAAAGGAACACTATAGCACAAGAAATACAAACCTGTACTTTAGTCTATTGCTAGTCTATTGCTAGTTTACAGTGCCCCAACTGCAATAGGTTTTTACTTGGACCTTTCTCCAGCACCGACACTCCCTCAGCGCTGCCAACTGCTCCATCTCCCACTACGTCATCCGGCTGCATTGCTACCAATCTGTAGGTCCAAACCAATGCTGCTCATATACGAGCATTAGGGACTGAAGCACAGTTGCGGCGAGCACTGCCTAGGTATTCGAATGATTGTGATAGGAAAGCATTGAATTCACAGCTTTCCTATGAACTGTATTTAGTTTCATGACTATACATAGGACACAAGGTCACGCATTTAGACTGGAAGTAGATTGAGTCTAAATCAAAGGAAAGGTTGTTTTTTTTTAATGTAAGAACAATAAACATGTGGAATTCTCTCCCTGAAGAGATGGTTTTAGCAGAGTCTGTACAGATGTTTAAACAGCAACTGGATAAATACTTGCAAAAACATAATATTCAGAAATAATTTTTTTAATTTGTGGGGTAATAGCTTCTTTGTCCAAGGAGAGATCTTACTGTAATTCAGAGGTCGAGAAGGAATTTTTCCGAGTGTGTTGCAAAATTGGAAACTGGTCCAAACTGGTTTTTTTTGTCTTTTTTTGGATCAACAACAAAAACGGATGTGACAAAGGCTGAACTTGATGAATGCATGTCTCTTTTCAGCGACGTAACTACGTGACTGAGTTTTACTCAGTTGTTGTAGAGGAAGTATATCTACTAAACAGTGATTTATTTATTTTTGTATTTAGGTAGTGGAGTGTACTTCTAATGCTTAGAGCTTTAAGCCTCTGGGCATACAGTTGTCAGGAAAACTGCCACTTATTTACAATAAAACTCAAATAGATTAGCCCATTTGTCCCATTTTTCTACGTCTGGTGCAAACACAAGCAAGGTGCCAATGTGAGCCATTGCAGGGTCTAATTTTTGCCAGCTGTTATGATCCCTGTCTCGTCATGACTATAACATTCAGAGCTATGTTATTACCTTGTGCCAATAACTGTCCCCAGTATCACCAAGAATCTGTAACATCTATTTCAGACAACCTTTTACTCAGCATTAAGCACATATCTGCATCATTAACTGCTTCCTCAGTAAATATTAAAAATGGTTTCCATCTCTCACACAGACTGAATCATTCCAAAGATTGTGTTCTGCTGTTCTTAAAGATGCAATCATCTCAAAAGCATTGTTTTAAATAATAGGTTAAAAATGACAGGACACTGCATCGAGACCCCTTCATTGAGGTGAAGTGGTCTGGGTGATTTAGTGGTCCATTAACACTGTTGGGACTGGATGGAATGTACTGCAGTTTTGGTTTGAGCAGGGTTAACTTCTTGCCCACACCAGGGTATCCCGTGTATCAACATACCTGATGTCGGCTTACTGCAGGTCTAGGTTCCCTGCTAATCACCTCTTCGGGAGCTATTCAGGACTGTGCCCATGCCAAATTGGCTGAAAGTGTAGGGTGACTTTTCTGCATCCAACTGCCTCATGTCACAGTTACAATAGCTGCCAGGGTCAAGTGTGCCATTTTCTTATCATTTTCTTTTTTTGTACCATTTAATTTTCTTTTGCCTGTACTGTACATATGTTAGTTTAGTCATAAGCACATGTTATTACCTCCCGACTTACGCACACAATATATTCTCCATCTGGGACCTGTCGGGTGAGATACTCTTCTGGTGTCAGATACTCTATACTTAATCTTTCTGGTTGTTACCTGGTGTGTTTTTCCTTCATGTGCTACTCTATGTGTGCTCAGTTAGCCTAGCTTACATCTTATGCTATCCTATTTAATTCACTACCTGAAGTACATATGCCTGATTTCATTTATTTAAAACAAAAAAGTGCAGCATTCTCGATATTACATGCTACAAATCCTTACTATTTTCTACTGTCTCTAACCTTGTAAAATGTTGTTAAAGCCTGTATGCCTAAACCTGGACTCCGAAAATAAAGAATGTAAAAAAAAAAAAAAAAAGTAAGATTTTGCTATATTTAGAGGGGCAAGGAGAGACTTGGGGGCTTGATATTGTTTTTAGCACTATAGGGTCAGGAATACATGTCTGTTTTCCTGACCCTATAGTTTTCATTTAACGATAGGCAAACCATAATTATCTCTCACTGTCTGGTGCAAGCCCCTGCCTCAGGTGTATCAAGTGTAAAGTAAAGAAAATTAGATGGGTACCAGTTTAACCCCATAAGGACACATGTCATGTGTGACATGTCATGATTCCCTTTTATTCCAGAAGTTTGTCCTTAAGGGGTTAATGGTTATACCGTTAACTTCCCTAATGATGGCTGCGGCTCCCACTGTGGGTGTTTATTTTATAATTATTATTTCGGCAGATGACCACCATTTTTAGGTTGGCCATGACCTGAGTTACAATTTCCATATTGGAAATAACGAGGGCTGGCTTCCAGCTTCTAGCTAGCAACAAGGCAGCTGAGCCTGGTGAGTATGAGATATAAACGTTTAATGAGATCTTCTGGTAGTATGTATAACAGAAATACCTCTAAGGAGGGTTTCAGATGTAGGACCACACTATCTTCTAACATGCCTGCCACTCTTTCCCAGAAATGTGTCACTAGAGGGCATGTCCACCAAATGTGGAGCATTGTCCCTACCTCGGAGCTGCATCTCCAACAGCCATTACTAACATTAGGGAATATGTGTGCAAATCTCGCTGGTACAAAGTACAAATGATAAAGTAATTTTCGTGTGATTTCCAGATACCCCCATGAGACATGTATGCTCTCTTGCAGGCCTTAGGAGGAATCTCCCTGCCCAAGTCCTTGTTTCTCTACTGTGTGACATAATGACAGTGTCTGTTTTAGGTGGAAGCATATGTAAGTACATTGTCTTAAAAGTTGTCAAACAGAAGTTCTCTCCCTGATCCGATGATGTACAGCTTTCAATTCTGGAAATGGTAGTAAATGGTGATTAGTGTTCTTGAGCTCAAGTTCTTGATACTCAGAGTGAGCTCTGCATATATGCTCTTTAAATAGGTTTTTAAATGCCTATTGTTGCAATGTGGTGTGAGCAAGGTTAACCCTTTGCAGTGCAATACATTTCCACTAAGTGCACCACTAGGTTTAATATCATTTTAATTTCTGTGACCTCCCGCAGGAACGCAATACAACCTGTGCATACATTCCACCACCAAGATCTCCCACCCTGTGTTCGTCGTGCACCTTTGAGGCACCCGGCATGGAGGATCAGCGGTCCTCTCCAGGGAAAATCAGACATTGGCCCGCAGGAGGTAAATTATTTTGTCAGATATATTCCGACACAGGACTGCAAAGGGTCAAATCCCTGCTCACATCAGGAATACACTGTTATCAATGGATACATGGGGCTCCTTCTGTCAGTTGGGGATATTTTAGTGGCCCCAGACTGACTGATGAGCTGTATGCAGTGCCGAACGTCTGTTTAAATCCATTCAGGATACTGCAGCAGGGCAATTTCGTTCAGCCACAGTGATGCTAGAGCTACAGTGCTGAACAGACCCTGGCTGTCAGTGTCTCCCTGGCCTTTGCCAGCTGGCCAGCACCGATCACGGTATAATCAGCTTGTGAAGCATGCTTTATTAACCAGTACATGAAAATCTTCCTGTAAAACTGAAAAAGCCAATAGATGGCAGCAACATGTAGGGCAGTGGCAACACTTAGAGCAAGGGGTAGGCAACCTTTTTTGCATGAGCTCCGGATGAATTGTCTGTGTAGAGATGGAGGGCCGCAATAGGCCATATAGCTAAAAATTTAATATAATAAGCATAATAATAGTGGTAATAGCAATAAACATGGTCAATTTCTTAGTTCTGATCTTTCAGCTGTTTAGTAGATGGCACCCTAATCTGGTTTCCTTACATGCGATTACCATACATATGAATACCAAATTAGGGAAAGATCAAAATTAAGATAACCCTTTTATTCTACCCCTGCTCATACTTTTAATCATTAATGTCATACAGCCATACAGACACAACCCCAAAGACAGCCAAGTCATATAGACACATACACACAGCCATACAGGTACAGCCATAGCCTTACAGGCACTTACAGACAGTCATATAAACCTATCCATACAGGTGCCTTTTTTCAATGCTGCCAGTCAGTACTTCTATTCTTGATATACGGAAGTCCATCAGCGAATCTATCATCGTACCTTGTTCGACTACTTCGAACGAACTGAGTCTACAGTGCAGTCAGAACTACAACTCCCGGCATGCCTTGCGGCCATGTCCCTCTCAGGCTCCCGTAGCCCGCACTATATGAATCCCTGGCTCAGCTGTGAGTTCAGTATCAGTCTGGGGTTGGTAATTTGCCGGGATGTTTCTCCGTAGAGCTGTGATCGCCGCCGGGGGTTCTGCTGTCGCTCTTTTTGCCGCCGTGTCTGTGGGGAAGAGCGGGGATGACTACTTTCTGGCATGGCCGCCTGCTGTCAGCGAGCGCTGGGAAAGTAACTGGGATCTGTAAGTCGGCGACCGACAGCATCCCACTGCATGTCATCCCACTGCATGTCGTCCCACTGCATGTCATCCCACTGCATGTCATCCCACTGCATGTCATCCCACTGCATGTCATCCCACTGCATGTCGTCCCACTGTATGTCATCCCACTTGTTTTATAATGTGACAGTTGTGATATGTGGGTCTTACGAAGCCTCAAGTTCTAGTTACTTGCAAGAGCTGCGTCTGCTACTTTTCTTTGCAAGCCCTCTTCCTGGCACAGACTGAAATCGGCTTCATGTCAAGAGCGTCTGTGGTGGGTGATTGCAATGTGCTGCATTACAGTTCATTGAGTAATTATTTATAAAATGTCTAACCAGGGAGGGTACACTGAGATTTCTCTCTGAGTATAGAAGAGTGAGGACTGTTGGCTGAGGAGCTACCAAGAGCACCTACTGGCTGATGGAGGTGTTCGTGCAACTATTGTACTCAAATTGGCTGGTTTTTGCGAACTGTGGTAACTGCCTTTTAAAGTGATGTATGTTTGTGTATATATTTCTGTTCCATAGTCGAGAGCCAAACTCTCTGATTAACTTGAATCACCTGAAGGAAAAGCCTGAGGAATTGAAACACCAGCTGGATCGACACAAAGCAAAGGCTACTCGCCACATCTTTCTGGTCAGACATGCACAGTACAATGAAGATGGAGCTACAGACTCAGAAAAAATTCTCACAGAAGAGGGTATGTATGATGTCTTTGTAAAAGACACCTCCCCTCTCTCCCATAAAAGCCTCAGGATTTATAACAAACTACATACATGCCCCACTAACAATCAATTCCTGTGACTGCCACACTGAAATAAGACTGGGGTTATTGTGGTACAGCTTGTAATTAACTAAGTTTAGTCTCTTCTCTCCTGTAGGACGGAAGCAGGCAGAACACACCGGTAAGCGCCTGGCGTCTCTACATCATACCTTCACCTACATTATTTATTCTTCGATGGCCAGAACCAAAGAAACTTTTGAAATCATCAAAAGAAAACTACCAGGTAACTTTTTTTTTTTATTTATTTTTATGTAGGTCTAAAAATAAAGCTTACACTAGAACTTCTATCTACTACCAAAAAATGATATGCAGTGTCAGTCCATAACTCAGAGGTACTAAATTAAAATGCCAAGCTTCAGGTAGATTTGTCATATCCTCGAATGGAAACCCATTTATGATGGGGAATTGTCTAATAAATACAAGGAATTCTGAATAACTCCAGTTTAATACCTTCATAAAGATCCTTGTCACATGTATGGACAATTGATCCTTCAAGTGAATCTTTAAAGGGATATGTATGCACCAAAACTTGCACAGCCTTCCTAAACCCTTCCTTTAAAGAGATGTTTAAACTTCAATTATTGCAAATTCTGTTAAGTTTAAAACTGATCTGTTTAATAGCCCATTATAGCATGCAGGAGAGAACCTAAAGTTAACACTCTTCTCATGTACGCGTCACAGCAAATGGAGGGGTTTGTTTTCTGCCTCAAACATAAGTGAATTAACTCCTTAATGACAAAATTTGAGCTTATGACTGCAGGGGCATAATCCATAAACTGCTTCATTAAGCTAAAGTTATCTTTGTGCTTAGAGCATCACTTAAGATCATGCTGGGTGGTAGAATAAGTCAACAGCACCTAATGGAAATACTGCCCCAGTATTTCTAAACCGTCTTTTCAGTGCATTCTACAGCCTCTTGTAACCCTCTACCTGCTCCATACAAGTAGACTTCATGGCCCTGGTGCTAATAGGGAGGATACAAAGGGGGTTCCCCCATACATATGAGATGGCAGGCTTGTGGGTTTTTTTTTACATTCTTTATTTGTATGTAGTAAGGTCAAATTGTATCAAGAGACACGGTATAACAAGTTACGCAAGGCCCCTAAACCTTATGTCCAACAATATTTTTAGGGTTTCGTTCCTAAGTCCCCCCCCTCCCCCAATCCCCACCAGTCTTGATCAGGCCTCATTTCTCCGTTTGGCAGGCTTGATTTTTGTGGGGGTTGTTCACTCTGTAATAGAGATGTATTGATGATCCTCTTTTCTGTTGCATCTCTAAAAACTAAAGCCATGAATCTCCACAGATATAGAAAACTCTGGATGTGACTTGCTTCGTGAAGGATACCCAATCAAGCCAGTCCCACTATCTTCTCACTGGAAAGCAGATTATAAGGTATATAATCATTGAATAGACCTAGAGTTAACTATATAATTTATTTATTTTTAATTTTTGTCTTTAGTTTTTTAAAGATGGCCCACGCCTCGAGGCTGCATTTAGGAAGTATATATGTCGAGCAGATCCAAAGCAGGCAAAAGATAGCTATGAGATCATAGTTTGCCATGAAAATGTCATCCGCTACATTGTATGCAGGTAATATACCCTTTGACCTCCAATACAACAAGAATCATGTGTCAGTTAATTGGTCCTCCCAGGTTCAGCACACTGAATGCTGCAGAATTTTTTGGGGGGGAATGTTCGGATTATTTGAGTGTATACACCAGACTTCCAATCTGGAATGTGGAAGTAGAAATCTCTGAAGAGGGGCCAGACTACAGGCATAAGCAATAAATGCTACCCGTTTAATGGTGCTTAGAATCTCCTGAAACCATAACCACTATGGTACTTGTGGTGTAAGTTGTGTATATTGACAACTGTTAAGCCAGTACAGCAGCAACTCTGGAATTGTTATAAAACATTCTATGATGCATTGTGATACTGGCTAAAAGAAGGGAAACAAAACTTCAATGTAACATACTGGTATACCTTGGCATGTTGACCGTGCAAGCTAGCTTTTCCTTAAAACTTGAAGGGACGCTGCAGGCACCCAGACCAATTAAACTCACTAAGGTCTTGGCGCCTTGTGCATTAAACCTGCTGTAGTAATATTGCAGTTTCTGAGAAACTGCAATCATTACCTGAGGATTAACTCCTCCAGTGGCTGTCTACCAGACTTCCACTGGCTGTTCTCATATTCTGAATAATTCTTCCCTGTGTAGAATATGCATGCTATAAACTGTCTAGGTTAAGTAAAATCATCTAGGATACAACCAGCATTATCTAGCTTTTATTGCAGTAGATGTGAAATTGTGCTAATTTGTAATTTTTGTGTTCAGGGCATTACAACTACCACCCGAAGCATGGAAAAGGATGTCTCTTCATCATGGTAGCATTAGCAAGCTAGTCATCTATCCAGATGGGGAGGTGTTACTGGAGATGCTTGGTGATGTTGGATTTTTGCCAGTGGACAAACTTGAAGAGGTTTGAAAGACTTTCTATGTTCTGAAGCTGACATGCTGCACTTTCTCCTGAATGGAGTGTGTAGCTGACTGTTATCCATCAAGCAGGACAAAATTAAAGTAGAAACTTTGATACTATCAAATATTCACTATTGTTATGAAACAATGTATGGACTTAAACTATACCAGGACTCTGCACAGTCTACACTGGGATTCAACACTCATCAATTTTTTTTATTTTTTTATTTATTTATTTTTTTTAAACCACATTTGTTACACGCTAGTGAAGACTACATTGGTCCAGATATCACTGAAGATAACGCACTTGGTTGTATGTGGAATTCTTAAATGTTTCTGGTCACTTTGTAACCTGGTATTTTACAACTTGCAAAGTGTATTCTTAATGTGTGGGGTATTTTGTCTTTAGAGTGTTGCTATTGGCTGATCTCTCAGCCTGCCATTGGCTTGCATGAGTCCTCTAACTCTGCTATAAACAGTTTAGTCAGCTAAACATACTATATCAAAGACCATGTGACCTCAAATGGAAATTATCCTAATCTAGCACTTTAAAAAGATGCCTTTTGTACAACATGTTTCTATATATGTTCACATTGACTAAACATTAAATTGCAAAATCACCAAGACTAAATTTAATTCATATAATAAACTTATGTTGGTGAGCCGGCTAACCGCTTTCTAATCTAAAATTTTCTCTTACAAAGAATTCTCTAGTCTAGTGGGTTCTTTACACTTCAACAGAACTTGTAGTATTTGCTCTTTATGCTAAAGAGGTGGGTCTGTGGGTTTTTTTTTTTTTAAATCAGAACTCCCTTCTGAAATGCATGGAGTATCAAGGGGTGGCAGCCCCCTGCCCTTCAAATGATTTTTCTAGGTTGGGAGGCGAGAGGGACAGCTGATCTTAAATACAAAAAGTTAAACATCATGTGGGCAACCTTGCTATTATCTACATTTTTTTTTGCTATGGAGGGTTAAAGTTAACAAGTACTTTGCAAGGAGTCAAAACATAAATGCAACAGGTGATGACAGTATAATCAATTGGTGGACTTGGCAAAGAGTTGCCCATATTCCTAGGACCAGCATGGGAGATGTTGAAACGGCAAAAATAGGCTTTTGGCTGGGAGTGGTTGCTTTTGGAATAAAAAGGTGGAAATGCATAAATCCTGGGTTGTTTGTGGGTCATGAAAACTGGTTTGGGAACCAGTGGTCTAATCAAAGTGGGAATCCCTGAATTATCCTATACCGTTAATCCATGACTAGTTGGAAGCTTCACAGTCCACCTGCTCATTGACTACATCCTGTGGGTATGGGAGGGAAAGGTTTAACTGTCATCCACTTGAGTAAAGTTGGAATCTGAATAAATGGAATTTGATGTGGAAGGGGGAAATATGTTTTGGTGGATTAAAGTAGTGGTTGGAGAATATGGAGTTGGTAAATGTTAATATTGATTTACAATCGGGCTAGATGTGAAACTACATTTTGTTAGCCGTTGACTAATCTGTAAACCCGATTTTTGTGCGTCTATATGCTAAGTGAAATGCAGACCTCAAACAGTCAATATTTCCCAAAGTGTGTTGGTATTACATGCCAACACCCACAAAAAAGTTATGAAAGGGAAGGTTGACCAGAAAACATTTTGGGAATGAGCTATTTGTGAAAAGGCACAAGAAAGGACAGTATTTGCAGGATTAAGAAACGGATGGCTGAGGCAGGAGTGGCCGGAAGATGGCAACGGCACAAAATGGGTTTACTGAAGTAGCAAAACCTAAATGGCAGGGGCACACTGAATGAGCATTGCATGAATAGGGAATACAAAGGGGGATGTCATGCTTATAACCTGAATCTTTGAATTGTCCTGATGTCTTTAGTAATTGGTATACATTTTAAGATGACCATCAGATCAGTAAAGTCTATACTCTGGTCATGAGCCTGGTTGACTGCTTCTAACACTGCAATCTGCTTGGGGAAATCTCTGACCAAACTACAATCTGAGACCGCTGCCTCACACAGGATCAGAGTAAGGATGTGATCACACATTACTTTCTCCTGGTGAACATAGAGGGAGCTGATAGTTGCAAATAGCTGACCCCATGAAACTAAGCCAAAGGTATCTGATTATTAACCAGTCGCTAAGACCAAAAGAAAACACAAGATAGAATGCTGTGTAGCGGAATGTACATGTATTGGCTGTCCGTATCCCCCCTGTTATTTTGCCGGTTATTTCATGTAGTTCTTCTTTGGCCGTTTGGGAGACTTCATATGAACAGCATCCATTCCTCTCCTGAACAAGGACCACCCCTGTACCCCATTAGAACATTAACACCAACAACTTTAGTGCGAAACCGCAAGGGAAATAATGAATGTTCTTCTTAGTTTGTCTCCCGAATGAGGGCAGCAGTACTTGGTCGTCGAGTGCTAGGAACTATTTTCGGCTTGGCATTCGCGTGAACATCGGTAAACTGCCGACTGCTGCCCGCTCTGGACCACCTACACGAACGGTGTATGAAGATATAAAGTACCGAACAGGGGGATCATTCATATCGTGAAAGCAGGAGATTCAATTAAATGTTTAGACCCCCTATATTACAAATGTACAAAATTAGGATTACAGCTTTAATATTGCAACTGCTGTAGCTACATGGAGAATTTAACTACAACTCCCGGAATGCCTTGCGGCCATGTCCCTCTCAGGCTCCCGTAGCCCGCACTATATGAATCCCTGGCTCAGCTGTGAGTTCAGTATCAGTCTGGGGTTGGTAATTTGCCGGGATGTTTCTCCGTAGAGCTGTGATCGCCGCCGGGGGTTCTGCTGTCGCTCTTTTTGCCGCCGTGTCTGTGGGGAAGAGCGGGGATGACTTGGTGTCTCTCTGGCCCCATGTGCACCCTGGACGCTGGGATAGGAACTGGGATTAGTGAGTACCTGCTGGGTGAATTAAAGCATCCTGTGATGGGATGTCCTGTACCGGGGCTGGAATATCCGTACTGAGCGATATAGAGCAGACACTGGGATCCTCTGCAGTCTGGGCCCAGGACCTGACAATCTAACAGGAAGGTGCCATTAGTATAGGGAGCTGAGAGCGTTTATTGGGAGAGTTACATAGATCACTGGATATGGTGAATGTAAACTGGGCTTCACTGAGCATTATCTGCTTCAGGTCCAGGGGCCATACACAGAATTTACTCACTATCCCGAGTCTAGTGTGTGTGGAACTTGCCAGAGTGTTAACGTTGTTTTACTTATCCCCTATAACCAAACAAAAACGTTTCGCATTATAAGCTCTGTACCTGGCAGAATGCTAGTCATAGAGCAAGCATACTGAGCGTAATGGAACATGGGGGTTATGTATAAAGTCTTGGTTTATGTGGGTTTGATGTCTTTCCTGGTTTGCCCTGCACTTTCTAACACTTTTTCCCTTTTTTTTTTTTTTTCCTGTAAAATAAATTTAAAAAAAATATCATATGATGATCTCCTCCAGTGGAAAAGCTCACCTTCATCTAACATGTTATGCCACGGTCATTGGTGGGCTTTCCGTGACAAGTAGTTTACCTTTGTGGTTTAGTTAATGTTTGGGTGGGTCTTTAAAGGTTAAAACTTTGCCCACTAGTCTTCTGGTGCCTGACACCTCTACCTCCTCTCCCTTCCTCCCAGCTGCCACAATAACAGCAAGGTTTACCAGGTGGCTGTTTTTCCTATCAGAATGTTTCTCCTTGCAGCTAGACAATATCAAATTATGGGGATCAGAGTATCAGCACCACTCCTGCCTGGAGGCTAGCTCCTGAGAATGGCGGCTGAGCTGCATCCAGGTTCTATTGAAAATGGATGCTGATACTCAGTGATGTACACACGTTCCATGGGGACCCGGTGTTAAAATTGATCCGTGGGCCAGAACACATGGCGACGGGCACTGGGTCGGAGGCTGCGACTGCGGTATGTACGCCAGTGAATGCAGCTACACATACAGCTAAAGGACCACTATATGCACTCAGATCACTTCAGCTGAATGAACTGGTCTGGGTGCTAGGTCCTACTAGTTTTAACCCTGCAGCTGAAAACTTGGCACTTTCAGAGAAACTGCTGTTTCATCCAGCCTCTAGTAGCTGTCTCACTGACAGCCGCTAGAGGTGCTTCCGCGATTCTCACTGTGAAAACCAATGAGAAGGTGCTGGACGTCTATAGGAAAGCAGTGAGTAATGCTTTCCTATGGGCGGTTTGAATGCGTGCGGCTCTTGCCACGCATTTGGCGCTGAGAGGCGGATCAGGGCGGAGAGATCCCAAGAGCTGGAGAAAGGTAGGTGCTGAAGGGGTTTTAACCGCATACACACTAGCTATAAGACACCCACTCAGTGACAGACCTAAATACACTCCCTTACAAAACATGCACAACTAACACTCACTAGCAGACACACGAACTAACACACATACACTCTCATAAATTATTATTATTTTTTTTTTTTAAACTTAATCTCCAAGCCTCCCTAACTTTGGGAGTGCTGCTGGGCGACCAGTCCTGCAGGAGGCGAGGGAGCACTGATCCTCCTCTTCAGCTCGCGCGTTGCTTACTGGAGCCAGAGTGACATCATATTCTGGCTCTGACATCACTGCAGTTCGCACAAGGGAGCTGGGCAGAGAGCCCTAAGGGGAGAATGTTAGCTTGCCCGGTGACACCACTGCCAGCCTCCATGGTGGTCAGCTGCTGGGCCCCCCAGGAGAAGAGGCTGGCAAACTGGCGTACATACCGAGGTCGCGTGGCAGCCAGGCTCGGTCACAGCTGCGACCCTCGCGACTGCGGTATATAAGCCAGTGCTGATACTACCGTTCGCTCAGAGGCTGTGAATCCGCTGAGCACTCTACCTTCTGGGGACTCTGCTGAATTCACAAACCACTTCTGAGCAGTCAAACTGGAACAGCATACAATAAATCCTTCCCCAAATAATGAGACGACACTTCACTTTTTTTTTTTTTTTGTAAATATGATTTTTATTTTCATTTTTCAAATCGAGGCAGTCC